AGCAGATTTTAGAAAATAGACTGAAGTGGTTTAGGGTACGAGTCCATTAGCAGATTTTAGAAAATAGACTGAAGTGGTTTGGGTACGTGTCCATTAGCAGATTTTAGAAAATAGACTGAAGTGGCTTGGGTACGTGTCCATTAGCAGATTTTAGAAAATAGACTGAAGTGGCTTGGGTACGTGTCCATTAGCAGATTTTAGAAAATAGACTGAAGTGGTTTGGGTACGTATCCATTAGCAGATTTTAGAAAATAGACTGAAGTGGTTTGACCATTAGCAGATTTTAGAAAATAGACTGAAGTGGTTTGGGTACGTGTCCATTAGTAGATTTTAGAAAATAGACTGAAGTGGTTTGGGTACGTGTCCATTAGCAGATTTTAGAAAATAGACTGAAGTGGTTTTGGGTACGTCCATTGACAGATTTTAGAAAAGAGACTGAAGTGGTTTGGGTACGGGTTTCTATTAGTAGATTTTAGAAAAGAGACTGAAGTGGTTTGGGTACGTGTCCATTAGCAGATTTTCGAAAATAGACTGAAGTGGTTTGGGTACGTGTCCGTGGTAGATTTTAGAAAATAGACTGAAGTGGCTTGGATACGGTCCATTAGCAGATTTTAGAAAATATAGACTGAAGTGGTCCCATTAGCAGATTTTAGAAAAGAGACTGAAGTGGTTTGGGTACGTGTCCATTAGCAGATTTTAGAAAAGTGACTGAAGTGGTTTGGGTACGTATCCATTAGCAGATTTTAGAAAATAGACTGAAGTGGCTTGGGTACGAGTCCATTTTAGCAGATTTTAGAAAATTTTAAAAATAGACTGAAGTGGTTTGGGTACGTGTCCATTAGCAGATTTTAGAAAATAGACTGAAGTGGTTTGGGTACGTGTCCATTAGCAGATTTTAGAAAATAGACTGAAGTGGTTTGGGTACGTATCCATTAGCAGATTTTAGAAAATAGACTGAAGTGGCTTGGGTGCGTGCCCATTAGCACGAGTCCAAGTGGCAGATTTTCCAGAAAATTTTAGAAAAATAGAAGAAGTGGTTTGGGTACGTTCATTAGCAGATTTTAGAAAAATAGACTGAAGTGGTTTGGGTACGAGTCCATTAGCAGATTTTAGAAAATAGACTGAAGTGGCTTGGGTACGGGTCCATTAGCAGATTTTAGAAAAGAGACTGAAGTGGTTTGGGTACGTATCCATTATCAGATTTTAGAAAATAGACTGAAGTGGTTTGGGTGCGTGTCCATTAGCAGATTTTAGAAAATAGACTGAAGTGGTTTTACGTGTCCATACGTATCCATTAGCAGATTTTAGAAAATAGACTGAAGTGGTTTGGGTACGAGTCCATTAGCAGATTTTAGAAAAGAGACTGAAGTGGTTTGAGTACGTGTCCATTAGCAGATTTTAGAAAATAGACTGAAGTGGTTTGGGGACGTGTCCATTAGCAGATTTTAGAAAATAGACTGAAGTGGTTTGGGCAATACGTCCATTAGAAGATTTTAGAAAATAGACTGAAGTGGCTTGGGTACGTGTCCATTAGCAGATTTTAGAAAATAGACTGAAGTGGTTTGGGGTACGTGTCCATTAGCAGATTTTAGAAAATGGTTTGGGTACGTATCCATTAGTTTTAGAAAATAGACTGAAGTACGTGTCCATTAGCAGATTTTAGAAAATAGACTGAAGTGGTTTGAATACGTATCCATTAGCAGATTTTAGAAAATAGACTGAAGTGGCTTGGGTACGTGTCCATTAGCAGATTTTAGAAAATAGACTTGAAGTGGTTTTATACGTATCCATTAGCAGATTTTAGAAAATAGACTGAAGTGGTTTGGGTACGTATCCATTAGCAGATTTTAGAAAATAGACTGAAGTGGTTTGTAGGTACATTAGCAGATTTTAGAAAAAAAGACTGAAGTGGTTTGAGTCCCATTAGCAGATTTTAGAAAATAGACTGAAGTGGTTTGGGTACGTGTCCATTAGCAGATTTTAGAAAATAGACTGAAGTGGTTTGGGGACGTATCCATTAGCAGATTTTAGAAAATAGACTGAAGTGGTTTGAGTACGTGTCCATTAGCAGATTTTAGAAAATAGACTTTGAAGTGGTTTGGGTACGTATCCATTAGCAGATTTTAGAAAATAGACTGAAGTTTTTGGGTACGTGTCCATTAGCAGATTTTAGAAAATAGACTGAAGTGGCTTGGGTACGTATCCATTAGCAGATTTTAGAAAAAGAGACTGAAGTGGTTTGGGTACGTATCCATTAGCAGATTTTTAGAAAATAGACTGAAGTGGTTTGGGTACGAGTCCATTAGCAGATTTTAGAAAATAGACTGAAGTGGTTTGGGTACGTGTCCATTAGCAGATTTTAGAAAAGAGACTGAAGTGGTTTGGGTACGTGTCCATTAGCAGATTTTAAAAAAGAGACTGAAGTGGTTTGGATACGTGTCCATTAGCAGATTTTAGAAAATATACTGAAGTGGTTTGAGTACGTATCCATTAGCAGATTTTAGAAAAGAGACTGAAGTGGTTTGGGTACGTGTCCATTAGCAGATTTTAGAAAAGAGACTGAAGTGGTTTGGGTACGTGTCCATTAGCAGATTTTAGAAAAGAGACTGAAGTGGTTTGGGTACGTATCCATTAGCAGATTTTAGAAAATAGACTGAAGTGGTTTGGGTACGTATCCATTAGCAGATTTTAGAAAATAGACTGAAGTGGCTTGGGTACGTGTCCATTAGCAGATTTTAAAAAGAGACTGAAGTGGTTTGGGTACGTGTCCATTAGCAGATTTTAGAAAAAGACTGAAGTGGTTTGGGTACGTGTCCATTTTTTAGAAAATAGACTGAAGTGGCTTGGGTACGTGTCCATTAGCAGATTTTAGAAAATAGACTGAAGTGGTTTGGGTACGTGTCCATTAGCAGATTTTAGAAAAGAGACTGAAGTGGTTTGGGTACGTGTCCATTAGCAGATTTTAGAAAATTTTAGACTGAAGTGGTTTGGGTACGTGTCCATTAGCAGATTTTAGAAAATAGACTGAAGTGGTTTGGGTACGTGTCCATTAGCAGATTTTAGAAAAGAGACTGAAGTGGTTTGGGTACGTGTCCATTAGCAGATTTTAGAAAAGAGACTGAAGTGGTTTGGGTACGTGTCCATTAGCAGATTTTAGAAAATAGACTGAAGTGGTTTGGGTACGTGTCCATTAGCAGATTTTAGAAAAGAGACTGAAGTGGTTTGGGTACGTGTCCATTAGCAGATTTTAGAAAAATAGACTGAAGTGGTTTGGGTACGTGTCCATTAGCAGATTTTAGAAAATAGACTGAAGTGGTTTGGGTACGTGTCCATTAGCAGATTTTAGAAAAGAGACTGAAGTGGTTTGGGTACGTGTCCATTAGCAGATTTTAGAAAAGAGACTGAAGTGGTTTGGGTACGTGTCCATTGGCAGATTTTAGAAAAGAGACTGAAGTGGTTTGGGTACGTGTCCATTAGCAGATTTTAGAAAAGAGACTGAAGTGGTTTGGGTACGTGTCCATTAGCAGATTTTAGAAAATAGACTGAAGTGGTTTGGGTACGTGTCCATTAGCAGATTTTAGAAAATAGACTGAAGTGGCTTGGGTACGTGTCCATTAGCAGATTTTAGAAAAGAGACTGAAGTGGTTTGGGTACGTCCATTAGCAGATTTTAGAAAAGAGACTGAAGTGGTTTGGGTACGTGTCCATTAGCAGATTTTAGAAAATAGACTGAAGTGGCTTGGGTACGACTGATTAGTGGATTTTAGAAAAGAGACTGAAGTGGTTTGGGTAGATTTTTTTAGAAAATAGACTGAAGTGGTTTGAATTAGCAGATTTTAGAAAATAGACTGAAGTGGTTTACGTCCATTGATTTTAGAAGTATCCATTAGCAGATTTTAGAAAATAGACTGAAGTGGTTTGGGTACGTATCCATTAGCAGATTTTAGAAAATAGACTGAAGTGGTTTGGGTACGTGTCCATTAGCAGATTTTAGAAAATAGACTGAAGTGGTTTTGGTACGTGTCCATTAGCAGATTTTAGAAAAAGACTGAAGTGGTTTGGGTACGTGTCCATTAGCAGATTTTAGAAAAGAGACTGAAGTGGTTTGGGTACGTATCCATTAGCAGATTTTAGAAAATAGACTGAAGTGGCTTGGGTACGTGTCCATTAGCAGATTTTAGAAAAGAGACTGAAGTGGTTTGGGTACGTGTCCATTAGCAGTTTTTAGATTTTTGTGTAGAAAAAAGAGACTGAAGTGGTTTGGGTACGTGTCCATTGGTAGATTTTAGAAAATAGACTGAAGTGGTTTGGGTACGTGTCCATTAGCAGATTTAGAAAAGAGACTGAAGTGGTTTGGGTACGTGTCCATTGATAGATTTTAGAAAATAGACTGAAGTGGCTTGGGTACGTGTCCATTAGCAGATTTTAGAAAATAGACTGAAGTGGCTTGGGTACGTGTCCATTGGTAGATTTTAGAAAATAGACTGAAGTGGTTTGGGTGCGTGTCCATTAGCAGATTTTAGAAAATAGACTGAAGTGGCTTGGGTACGTGTCCATTGACAGATTTTAGAAAAGAGACTGAAGTGGTTTGGGTACGTTCTATTGGTAGATTTTAGAAAAGAGACTGAAGTGGCTTGGGTACGTGTCCATTAGCAGATTTTAGAAAAGTGACTGAAGTGGTTTGGGTACGTGTCCATTGATAGATTTTAGAAAATAGACTGAAGTGGTTTGGGTGCCTGTCCATTAGCAGATTTTAGAAAATAGACTGAAGTGGCTTGGGTACGTGTCCATTAGCAGATTTTAGAAAAGAGACTGAAGTGGTTTGGGTACGTGTTCATTGGTAGATTTTAGAAAATAGACTGAAGTCATTCCTTAAAGTACCCTCTCTGTGAGCAGATACTGACATCGAACATCGATTGTCTGCCATGTATTAAGTAATGTCTAAGCTAACCAAAGCTTAGGTCCGAGATTTTATCGATGGTAGAACATAATAAACGCCTGATGGTGGGATTAAAAGCGTTTCCATTGACTGTAAATGGGAAGTGGCGTTGGTCAATTTTGCAGTTAAGTCCGTAAATGGTAAACCAACGTGGTCGTTCCATTATTGCGACAAATTCTAAGAAAAAATCTTTCTTTTCCCCTTTCTTTTTCTTTTCTTTTTTTTTTTCTTAATAGTTTTCTTATTTTTTTCTCCTCTTCCTTTCCCCATTCTTTCGTCCCTCTTTCTATTTTCTCTTTCCCTTTTCTTTTCTTAATCGATTTTCATCCGCCTGTCTTCTTGAGCATCCCTTCTTATCCTTAAACACGATTACGGCCATATCACGTTGAAAGACTGATCTCCGTACGAAAAGCGAAGTTAAGCATGTCACTACCTAGATGGGAATACCAAGTGTTGTAAGTTTGGATGTGCGGGTGATATAACAGACTGACGGACACTCATGTTGAAACACCGGTTTCAGTACGATCACCGAAGTTAAGCAACGTCGAGCTTGGTCAGTAGTATTTAGATGGTGACCGCTTGGGAATACCAAGTGTTGTAAGCCTGGATGTGCGGCTAGTGTAATGGCCTCACGGGCACGTCACGTTGAAACACCGGTTTCCGTACGATCACTAAAGTTAAGCAACGTCGAACTTGATCAGTAACTAGATAGGTGACGGCTTGGAAATACCAGTTGTTGTAAGTTTGGATGTGTGGGTGATATAATAGACTGGCGAACACGTCACGTTGAAACACCGCTTTCCGTACAAAGTTAAGCAACGTCGAGCCTGGTCAGTATTTAGATGGTGACCGCTTGGGAATACCAGGCGTTGTAAGCCTGGATATGCGGCTGGTGTAATGGCCTCACTGGCACGTCACGTTGAAACACCGGTTTCCGTATGATTACCAAAGTTAAGCAACGTCAACCTTGGTCAGTAACTAGATAGGTAACCGCTTGGAAATACAAGGTGCTATAAGTCTGGATATGCGGCTGATGTAATGGATAATTACTCGGAATTTTTAATAGGAGAGCCGAGTTCCAATTCTTGTTGAGTTCGTTAATACCCTTGGGAAAGGTATGAATCAAACTCCCCCCAATTATGGGTTAATTATTTGGACTTGTATTACTAAAATAATTATTATCTATTCATTCATAAAATCTAAGAATAATTCCTGGTTTTTAATAACCTATAGAGGGTTGATAAACCGTAAAATAAACAAATAAATCAAAATAATTTTTTTTCTCTTTCCGACATTTTCTTTTCTTTTTTTACTTCACCATTTTACTTTCTTCATTTTTTTAACCATCTATATATTTATGGAGACAAGGTTGAGTAATAGAATGGGCCTCGGACTGAGGAATCTTCTTTTTCTTCTTTTTCTTATTTAGAATTTTCTTTTTTCTTCTAAATCAGAATCTTTTTCTTCTTTAGAATCTTTTTATTCTTCTGCATCGTATTTTTTCTTCACCAAAGTTCCTTCTTCTTCTTCTTCTTCTTCTTCTTCTTCTTCTTCTTCTTCTTCTTCATCAGAATCTTCTTTAGGATCTTTTTCTACTTCCTTTTCAGAATCTTCTTCTTCTTCTTTGTTATATCTTTCCGCAACTCACAACCCATCATACTCACATACAATAGACACAACGACCCATCTCTCTCTCTCTCTCTCTCTCTCTATATATATATATATATATATATATATATATATATATATATGAATGCAAAGTCAAAAGAGACTGACGACCGAAGCAACGGGTGGGAGCCGAAGCTAAAAAAAAAATAGATTCTCAAACACGTGACGAATCACGTGACCAAATACGAACGACTGAGCGGGAAACGATCAACAGAAACGAATCGGGGTAATGATGAACCTCAAAGGAGGCGGATCATCTATTAGATTCTCATGTGAATTGATTCTCCGAACTGAAGAGAAGGAATGCCGTCCCCAACTCACATAAACTCCACGCACAGAATCAGGCGGAACAAGACTTGTGCGAATGATCGCTCTTTTTCCTGTTACAGTCAAGCAAAAGAGATCGCACGATAAAATACAAACTCCAATTCAACTCAACACTATGCTGCTTACATTAAAGATATGGGTAAATGGCGAAACGCGGAAGCCATCTAAGGAATGCATATGTTATATATTCAATTGGACGACGGATACGAAAAATGGATTCTGCACAGCTAAATATATGACTTATACAGCGCCGAATCTTCATAACCGAATATACGACTTCTATAGCGCTGAACCGACTAACGAAGGCAATATTGAAGAAAGAAGTATAGATCAAAGGACACCGCCAACTGAGCGACCAAACTGATTTGAAAGTAAAGACGACAAAGGGAAACATAAAAGAGAAAGAGAGAGAGAAAAGGGAAAAAAGAGAAAATATTATTTTATTTCAGAGGAAGGACTGAAGCTAAGTTTTTGATTCAACTTTTACCCTCACAAAATAACACATGCATCTTTCCACACAGAAATGAACAGCATACATCGTCCCACGCATTCTCTTGCTTAGATGTTTTCATGCATTGCCTAGTTATAATTAAATCTTGTTAATTTGTATATTGGCAGTTTGTCGTTTGTTACTGTTGGTTATCGTACCGAATTTGTGTCTTTGACCCTGCGAAGAACCCCATCCACTATGGAATGGTAAACATGGCGTCTACTAGACGGCGAGTTGCGTTTTTTTTAATCTTTCCTTTTTAAACTTTGTACTGCGGTAATTGTCCGTAACATCAAAGTCTTCAGAATCTTATTTCTTCTTCTTCTTCTTCTTCTTCTTCTTCTTCTTCTTCTTCTTCTTCTTCTTCTTCGGAATCTTCGGAATCTTCTTTCTTTCTTCTTCTTCTTCTTCTTCTTCTTCTTCTTCGGAATCTTCTTCTTCTTCTTCTTCGGAATCTTGTTCTTCTTCTTCGGAATCTTCTTCTTCTTCGGAATTTTTTTAAGAATCAGAATCTTCTTTTACTGCTTCAGAAACTTCTTCAGAATCTTATTCTACTTCTGCTTCTAATACTTCAGCAAGTTCTTCAGAATCTTCTTCTTCTACTTCTTCAGAAACTTTTTCACAATCTTCTTCTTCATAATCTTCTTCTTCTTCAAATTCTTTAGAAACTTCTTCTTCAGAATCTCCTTCTGTTTCTTCTTCTTCTTGTTCTACTTCTTCAGAAACGTCTTCTCCTTCAGAATATTCTTCTCCGGAATCTTCTTATTCTTCTATTTCTTCTACATCTTCTTCAGAAACTTCTTCTACTTCTTCAGAAGCTTCTTCTCTTTCAGAATCTTCTTCTCCGGAATGTTCTTATTCTTCTACTTCTTCTACATCTTCTTCAGAAACTTCTTCTTCAGAAACTTCTTCTTCAGAATGTTCTTCTACTCCTTCAGCAGCATCTTCTTCAGAATCTTATTCTTCTTCTACTTCTTTAACTTCTTCTTCCACTTCTTCAGAAACTTCTTCTTCATAATCTTCTTCTACTTCTTTTTCTATTTCTTCACCAACTTCTTCACAATCTTCTTCTTCTACTTCAACTTCTTCAGAAACTTCTTCTTCACAATCTTTGCTCTTCATAATTTAATTCTTCTTCTACTTCTTCAACTTCTTTTTCAACTTCTTCAGAAACATCTTCTTCAAAATCTTCTTCTACTTCTTCAGAAACTTCTTCTCCAGAATATTCTTCTTCAGAATCTTCGTCTTCTTTTTCTTCGTTGGAATATTCTTCTTCAGAATCTTCTTCTACTTCTTCTTCTTCAGAATCTGTTTTCCTACGTCAGAATCTTCTTCAGAATTTTATTTCTTTTTCTTTCCATTAGAATCATTTTCTTCTTTAGAATTGTCTTCTTCAAAATCTTATTTCTATTCTTCTTCACAATCTTGTCCTTTAAAATCTTCTTCTTCTTCATGAGAATATTCTTCAGAATTTTCTTTTTTCTTTTCATAAAAATCTTTTTCTCTTCTTTTCTTCTTCATCAGAACCGTCTTTTCAGAATATTCTTCTTCATCAGATGTTTTGCTTCTTCTTCAGAATCTTCTTCAAAATCTTATATTTTTCTTTTCATCAAAATCTTTTTTTTCTTTTTTTAG